CAACAGCACCCCAACGCAGCACCGGACATGTCCCCGAGCACCCTGCCGCCACGTACTGTCACCAGCCCAAACAGCGCCCCAAAATCGCAGCTGCGCCAGACCCCAAAGCGCATGCCCCTAGCTCCCAGCTGTCGATCTTGCAAAACAATTCCCCTTCTTCATTACAACTTAGAACCCGTATGGTTTTCAGTCATCTGGGAAATAAGCGCCCGCACGGTCAGCAGCACATCAAACAGCAGTCCAAAACAGCACTTGCACCACCACCCCAAATAGGACCCGCGGCGCCCCCAGCATTCGGCCGTCACCCAGAACTCAAACTGCATGCCTTCTAGCTTCTAGCACCCCGGCCGTCAATCTTGCAAAACAGAACCTCTACAGCACCCCAAACTACATGCCCCCTAGCACTCGGCCGTCACCTCCACCAACACCCCAATGAAGGCCCCCGAGCACCCGGCCGTCCATCTAGCACCTCCACTGGCACCCCAAACTACATACCCCCTAGCTCGGCCATCAATCTCGCCAAGTGGCGCCCCAAATTGCATGCCCAAAACGGCACCTCCACCAGCGAGACACCCGGCCGTCAAGCTCGCAAAGCAGCATCTCCACCAGCACCCCAAACTACATGCCCCCTAGCACCTGCCCATCACTCTTGCAAAACAGCAGCAACCCAAACTACATGCCCCCTAGCACCCGGCCGCCAATCTCACAAAACAGCACCTGAACCACGACCCCAAACTGCATGCCCCTTGTCAATCTCGCAAAACTGCACCTCCACCAGCACTCCAAACTGCATCCCACCCGGCACACCCCCACCAGGCACCCGGCCATCAAGCTCACAAAACAGCAGCTTCGCCAGCACCCCAAACTGCATGCCCCTCAGCACCCGGCCCTCAATCTCGCAAATCACGTTCCCTTCTTTATTAGAAGCTAGAACAAACCCTCGGGAACTCTGTCTGAGCTGGCGGCTTGCCGGAGCCGGAGCCCTCCTTCTCGACGAGCCTCACCTGCAAAAAAGAGAAAACACCGACGAAACTTGGACGCCCGGAAATATGGCTGGGGGTCAACACCAATGGTACCATTCACCACCCCTTTTTCATCTATTTTAGTCGGGATTGGGATGTTCACTGGGGGTACGGGATTTTGACCCGTGGCAATATATTTGCAGGGCTCCCTAGATTTTCACTCACAAGTTGCGCCAAAAAGGTGATGTTGAAAACCACCCAAAAGGGCTCGCATATCATGCGGTTCCCAGGCAACATGCGGTCTCTAGCATGGCAACATGCTTGACAGACGACGCTGACTTCTCAAGAGCCTGTGTGTTGCCTGCAACCGAAAAAGTGACACTAACTTTTGGGTGAACAACATAATAAGGACCCCTCCCCCCATCGGTTTTTGAAACGAGAAGCCATCATGCGGTTCCTAGGCAATGTGCGGTCTCCAACATAGCAAAATGCTTGGCGGACGATAGTTGGGGGCTGAAAGACGGAGCTTTTGAAAGCAGCGTGCCAGTGCGATTCGGGAACGCGAGAAATTCCCACTGGCTCGGCGCATTTCACACGAGGAACAGACAGCGCTCTCCTTTCCCCCCTGTAGTCGCAGCTTGGGCAGGTTGCTCCGAAGCAACAAAATGCACGATATTACACGGACAATTTCGGGCGGTGTGCCCAGTTAGCTTGCGGCTCCGAGTCCTAAAAAAATCGAGCGTAAAACGCCTTGCTTCCGGATCTGGTTCTCTACTGCTTCCTTGTGGGTCACCTCAAGGGAAACTGGGCATGGGCCAGAACTAAACCTCTAGGGGACGCTTCAAGTCGTGGCTTAAAAGGAAGCCTTCAAAGGTGTTTTGAGAGCCCTCAAATTCTAGGGGACACTTCCATTTCCATTCTTTCCCGGGATCCGCATTCCAGAAAACCATCAGTACTCTAGTGGAAACAGCGATCGGTTGTTGAAAAGAACGATGATTGAAAAGAATGGGAATCAACCCCTAGAAAACCAGGCACCCTTGAACCACCTTGTTTCCATTTACCAGGGTTCCATTTTAACATGGAACCTGACGCTTGTGGGGCGACCTGGTTTGGGCCTGGTCCGTTTAACGGGAGTGGCTTCCTGTTATAGACAGCCATCAAAAAACCGCCCCGTGAAAGTGGCGCCCTTCCTCAAACGAGCCCTATAGGGCGGCCAACCAATCCAGAACACGGCTCGCAAAGGGAGAGCGTTTTTTTTTCCGCGGTGAACAATTAAAAACGATTTTTCGCCTATTGCAGAATTGAACTTCCCTGAAAGCACGCAGATCTTGGGCGAAGCCCCCATGGACAGGGTCCCAAGAATATATCCAGACACACCTTGAGAGATCCTGAGCTGCCAAGCTGCCCGTCTCCCTTACGCGTCAACGGGGACCCTGAGTTACTGAGTCATGACCTGCGAAAGGCTTCCAAAATGGGAGTCTGAAGGCCGCTATCTGTCACTTCAAACGCCTGGCACACCCTCCACTCAAATGCGGAAACTGCATCTGGGGCCCAAGCAACGTCCATACCCTCGACAACCTGGCTGCCAGGTGGTGTTGGGAGACTTGGGCCCGGGAGACTTGGTGCTACAAATGGGGCCCGTCCTGCTTGGATTCGCCCGTGGAAAATGCGCTGTTTGGAACCTGCAATCCAACCATACCCTGATCTCCTGAAATAGAGCATCCTGATGTAGAAGCCAAATAAATGCACCCTTCACCTGCAACAAATGCAAAAAGCCTGAATGTCCCCATCGCGCTGTCTGAAATCCATATGCGACACGGCTTACACATACCTTTGCTCAGCCTGAGCGCCTCTGGTTCTTGTTTCCTTGGGTTTCCTTTCCCTGGCACCTCAAAGCCGGATTCGGAAATTCTCCTATCGGCGTCCGTGGCTTGTCCTTCCAGCCCTGAAGCCGCACCAAAACCCAATTTTTGTCGCGTTGCTATCCTCCGTGCAACGAATCAATTGGAAATGTCCGCCCGAAGTACCGGGGGAATCGGGCAAAATGGGGGGGGGGCACCACCATAAATCAGATGTCCAACCAGAACTCTGCCAAAAGGTGCGTCTTCACCTTCATGATTTGGGCCAAGCAAATGTGTGAGTTGTTTTATTGGTTCATGTGTTCACCCCCAATGACAGGTGCTTGGGAGAGCTTCAATGCAACCATTCTCTTGGATCTCAGTGAGGAAAAAAAAGGTGTGCATCGAACCAAAAAAAAAAAATGATCCGCTCGCAGGCGGATCAGAGAGATGCCTTGCCGAAGACCACGTGCTTGCCGTTCAGGTGGGGGGTGGCCTCAAGCCGAGCATCGGCGTTTCGGGAGTTCGGATCCAGGAAGAAGGAGGCGGGTTTTGTTCTAAGGTTGGACCCCCCAAAGGTGGCTCCCCTTTAAAACCCACAAACTGGGTACCCGAAACAAAGACACACCCAGATGAATCCACGGGACTGAACCGGAAGGGGATCCAAGAAACTTCTTTGCGGATCCAGGAAACGTCTTGGGTGGATGGTTGAGTTCAAAACCATTCAACTGGGGAGCTGCCCTAGTAACCTCGCTATAGCCTCCTTCCCCGTGGTTGTAAGTCACCTGGAGTGGGTGACACCTCAGGTTTCCTGCATGGCTTTGGTGGGTTCTTCCCCAAAAGACAAGGGAACGGAACAGTCTCCGATCCACCCCGAAATCGGGCACTTGACAAAGGGAATGGTACAGTGAGTAATATAATTGGTTCCTCCAAAAACATAAAATAACCACATAGAAACACATAAACTAACGTCGCGTCTTCATTATGATTTTCCTTTTTGGGACTTTCGTCACCGAGTCTACCCACAGCAATGCATGAACACATGTTCAAAAAACAACCAATATTGTCCAGCATCCAAATCTATCAACCTAACAACTAACTTAAACAACAACAAAACAGTCAATCTGTACAAACATGAATACCACACACTCGAAAAGGCGTTGAATTGTCAAACTCGCAAAGCCTAAGCAAACACAATTCGACCATTTCCAACATGCGTTGAACAATGCTTCTCAAATTCAGCGTTTACTATGGATCACAATAAAACATCTAAAATACCTGCGCATCCGGCTTTGACTCTTGTTTAACCAATTACCATGGCACGTTGCTTCATCTTGTCAAACATATCATCAGTATCAAGAATCCTACCAACATGTCAAATACGGGTAATTAATGTCCACCAAATCATAGTTCAAAGGCTGTGTATATATATATATATATATGTATCCACTATGTTATTCACTACATAAATCTAATTACAATGTAACACTGCATATCAACATAATACTTTTTGGCAGCAATATTGCTAGAGTTGTTCATTATGTTCAACATCGACTGTTTCATAGCACACTTACACATAATTTCATTTGTTGTCTCATTCTGCATATTATCCGTTTTGTTTTCAGAACGTGTGTGTGTTTTAGGTCTAAGTCAAGCCATGAGTAAGGCCGGCAAACGAGTTTTACAATTCGGTAGTTGGGCAGCCAGTTTAGCCATAACCTTCTTGCTGGCTTAGCTACTTTGTCAGAAGCTGGGCAGTTAGGTATCGCATAGTATGTCAATCAGGTACTCGTTTGGATTGGTTGGCCAAAGGTTTCTCAAGCTAGCTAGTTAGTTTGTTGAGCGTAGTTGGTCAGCGATTCAATTTAGTTGCTAAGGTAGACGAGCTGGCGAAGCCTTGCCTGACTTGATTTCAGCCACGGAAGTCCGGGCCTTTGCATGTGCAAAGACCGTCAAGGCATTGATGGTGCTCGAACCGCAAAAAGAACGTACGTCCTCAAGCACGCAAGCATATCTAGCGGGTTCGACACTTCCGCAGTTCCACTGCGGGGGAAGCTCTTTGGAAGCAGATCTGGTTGGACACATCCGCAGTTCCGTTCCGACAAAATTTATACAGCAACATGTTGGGAGAAACTTCATTTCGAGCCAGGCACCCAAGAGAAATCAGCAGCGATAAAGAGGAGAACCACCAATACAAATCATCAATTCCGGGGTGTCTGGAGCTCCCTACCGTTGCCTGTGCAAAATCACCCACGGCTGCTCTGGTCACAGCCTTCAGACCTTCGCAGCTCCACTGCTGAAGGTCTTAATTGGCAGAAAATGGAAAACGTGATCCACAGGAAACCCCCCATGTCAAAACAATATGAGGCCAGCACAAAGCGAACACGCTGCGTGGCACGCTGCGTGGCCAACCGAATTATGGCTCAGCGATGATGGTGTTGCCATCTTCCGCAGGCACCGACAACTTTTCGGAGCCCTTGACAATGGACTTCTCGTTCTTGGGCCAGTTGTTGGGGTCCCAGTCGTCGAAGGCTTTCTGACAAGCCGCCTGCAAGTTCATGCCGGACGACCTCAGAACACATCTACTTGAAAACAGAGAAAACAGTTCAACAATCAAAGTTCATCTCTGTGGGTCAGGGTCGATAGGGTGCATGCCTGTGACGCTTGTACTCTCTGTTCATGCCAACCTCGCAAAAGATTGGTCATCATTGCACACGGTGTGCCGAGCGTAAGCCCACGTCTAAAAACCATGCCCAAACCATGCCCCAGGAGAAATCATGTTTGCTTCCAGCACTTGAAAATTTCTTTAAGCAGGCGCAACCAAACGCAACATCATGACGCCGTCCATGATACTGTGGATGCACGCCTGCACCCCTTGCAAGCCATGGGAAAACATTGTTTGTTGGTATTCAGAAAATAGAATCATCATTCCCAGGGCCCAGGGTTTCCTATCCCAGGGAGCAAACTTGCAGGAACTTATTCTGAGCTGCCCAACATTTGCTGGTTTCATGCGAGAGGCGTCATCGCCATAACACCGGCCGGTATGCCGGCCGCAATGCCGACACAGTCCGCACCCCTATCCGCGTCCCCTGCGGCGAGGATCTTGAAACCCATTGACAAGCCAAAAAGACAACTGTACGATTCAAGATAAAGTCAAGAAAGAGTGTCTATGGCACCACACAAAGCTTCGCTCGCGCAATTGCTTTTTGCTTGGGCCAAAACATCCCAAGAGAACTGAATGTTATTAATCAGCAACCTTAAGAAACCGATCAAGCAAACATTGATTCCGGAGGCAAGGTTAATTAGACATGCGTGCGCAGGAAAAAGTGGATTCCATGCGGGGGCATTCTTCTCCCCCTTCTCCACTTGACAAGCGCAAAGACTCCAGCTTAGCTATTTGACTATCCGGCCTACATGTCTCGGAGGGTTACCGCTTCACGAGCTTGCACTTATCAGGTTGGGCTTTAGGACGCCATGTTGAATAGGTTCAACGCATAGTCCCACCTGCGTCAGCTGACAGGCATCGCCGGCGCTGCATCAATCCAAGGGTGCAAGGAATGAGAAACGCACCTTGCCATAGATGTCCTACTGTCTTCGAGAGGCGAACGCTTGTACTCATGCGGGTGGCTGCACTTGGCTCCGTCGAGGCTTTTAGCAAATCTCCGCGAAGAGGCTTCGACTTCCCACATCTTTGGATGACATTTACCTTCCTGGTCACAAAGCACGCACAACCTTGCTGTTCCGCGACAAACAAACCATGCCTCTTGATAAACCTGACTAGCTCTGGCAAATCCCAGCCTTCGCATGTCTTCGACCATTCGGATGCGACGTGGCTCCCTTGACTGAGGTCTTTGTCTGCACAACGAATGAAGTTTGCCAAGATTTTTCTAGAATGCTTTCGCGTCTTCTTCAGTTCCTTAGCAAACGGTTTTCCGTAATGATGGAGATTCACGCGTTCAATGACTTCCTAAAGACTGTCATTTTCCCATTGGCTTGACCTGTCAGGATTCTTTGTTGCAGTCGGAAATTAACGATTCCTTTGTCTTCAGTGATTTGGTCCAACGTCGGGTTTCCGACACAGCAAAGTTCAATAGTGTCGGACGCAGTCCGTACACCGGCTTGTCCAAGCCCTTGGTGAGTTTGAAGGAATTGTTTGGCACTCTTGGCTTACGCCTGGCGGTCACCGGCTTGCTCACTTCGCATTGCCCTGAGACTGCTGTCTGTGAAGGGCTGGCCGCGGCTGCACATAATTGCGCATAGTTTGGCGACACACGTCCTTTCAGAAAGAGCCATGTCTTACCACACCAACTCTTAAATGAAATTCTTTGATGTGGAATCTCTTACCAGTTGTCCCATGCGCGGGAACAGCTCCTTGGCACCTCCCCTCGCTGCTGCGTTCTTAGCAGCCTCATGGGAGTCGCACGCCTTGTTGTTAGTGACAAGTCACTGGCAGCGGCGTGACGGCTGCTTAAGTGGATGGAACTGTTGTCGAAGGCGCTAGGCCAGAACCAGGAGTAGTACCAGCGCAAGCGCGCAGCAGGAGTTGGAGGCATCGGTGCCCCTTTGCTGCTACTTCTTCCTTGGCTTGCCTCCTGCGCCAGCCTTTCTTTCTCAAGAAGAACACGGAATCTGTCATGACACGCGTTGGTACGCACTATCCTTTCTTTTCGCAACCCTTACAACTCAGGGCCCTACCAATTTTCATGGATGTCACATAGGTTCGTTTTCTCCCAGGGACATGGTCCAATGGTCAGGAACTTCATGGTAGGGCTGATTTCGCTCAACAGCTGCACTTGAATTGGCTCACCGCAACCTTGAGCAAGGTGTACCCTTGAGGTATACCCAGAGTCAAGCCTCCAGCCAACGGATAGGCTCGAAGGAGTTTGGGCGGTGTAAAGCACCAAGCTACAGTAACTTAAAACCTGTGAAGGTCACCACCGCTCCTTTGGATGGATTGCTGGGAAACCAGATTTCAATTGAACAGCTTGTGGCCTCCGTAATGCTCCTGATCTTCCTTTCCATGACGGGAGTTTGGATCTGGTCATTTGGAACACTCCGTCGCTCTTGACCAGACACAGTGCCTTCCATGAGCTCTGGTTCCTCCGAAGTGTTGAAGTCATCTTATATTGCCATCAGTGTTCCGCTTGGTTTGCGGGTACGCTGCAAACGCACCAGAATAATGACATGACATTCTCCTGTTGCTGGCATTCCTGACACTGCATCTGGTGCTGCGACAACCATCGGATCACTCCCTGTCCGCTTTGATCGCATACGAGAATTTGCTAAAAAACCCAACGAACGGTCTGCCTGCTGGTTCATTTGAAGACCTGCGGACAAGGCGTGAGGGCATGTGTTCGTACCTGACTTTTTCCCCTAAAAGGTCTACTGGACCTGATGCCACCACCGGTGCAAGACTCAATTGGCTCGCTTGTCTCGCGCACATGCTCCTTGCAGGATTGCGGCAAACCCTTAATAGAGATCAAGTTCCCACCGCTTCATGCCCATGCGTTCTGACAACACGGGGGTGCAGCAGGCGGCCTGCTTACACCTCTTCAGCCGCAGCAGCAGCCCCTTTCAAGCTGGCAATGACGTCTGGAGCCTTTTGGCTTGGGTGTAACGCTGGCGCGGGGCACAAAGACATCCCCCAGGTCCCCCAAACCCTCAACTCGGGAACGAACCAAGTTGATGATGCTTATTCAAGAGAAAAGCAGTGCAGCAGACGCTCGCTGGTTCAGGAACTCGTTCTTCAACCTTGTGCGCGGGCTTGCTACAGGCGACGAGACATTGGTCCACAATTGCTCTGACCCCCTTCCCCCCTCCCCGCCCAGACTCATCTTGCAGGACTTAAGTTGAACGGCGAAGACGTTGAAGCACTGGAAGATGTCGGACAGACCCTGCGCCAGCCCTGGAAGTTTCTGAGAGAGCGATCAGGCCGTCAGAAGCACTCTATTCAAACAATTGAAGGCCCCCGCAATGGTCTTGGCGGTCGATGTTTCAGGAACGCTAGATCCAGCAGCAGCAAGCGCATGGCTTTGGCTTTACGAAGCTTGGGGTAACCGTTGAAGCCCACAGCTAGACTCCTAGACGACGTGTCAATGGATCAGGGTATACACAATCGGCAGCCAAGTCCCAAACAGCGCCAGCCAAGACAAAGGAAGGAAAGGACAAGAAGGACAAGAAGCAGCCAGAAAAGGAGCAACCTTCATCCAGCTAGAAACCCAAAGACTCAAAAGCTCTAAGGTGCTCCCGCAAAGGGCGAGGATAAGGGTGGCACGGGCAAGAGGGCTAAGGGCACTCCGATGATGTGTCAAGCCTCCTTGCCCCGCGCACCCCGAAACCTCACAATCCTCAAGAAATCCGACCAGCCGAAAGGAGCTATCGGTTGGTGGTGTGAATTGCTGAGATCTGATTCTGGCTGTGCAACGATGAGACTGTTGAACGATGAGACTGTTGAGGACTATGTCGCTATCGTCGGAAACGAAATCTGTACGTAAGCCTATCGTCAAGAGATCCTGCAGCACCAAGACTTCGAATTGCGACAACGTGAAACCCTTCACGGGTAAAGGCTGAAATACACTGCCTGACCGCCTCAAGCCGTTGCTGCAAAGGCCGTCGTAGTCCCAGCCCGTTCGTCCGCAAGGGGCCGGTCAAGAACCTGGCGATAGTCAAATGCTGACAACGGTATCGAAAGTCTATGCCGCTACGCAAAAGGTAAGCCCTGTTCCTTGGAACACTTGGATTCGTGGCAAGAGCCAAATCACAAACCACCGCCGCGGAGTTATGACCTGTAGGCTCAGAGCGCCTTGACGCGCGCGAATCATCCGCCCTGGCTGGATCAACCAGCGCTGCAGGCCCCACGCACGACGACGCAGGCTCCTCGGCTACTGGGAGCAGTTGCCTCCGCAGATCTGACGACCTGAAAACGCGCCCGATGACGAGGCCCCTCTTGCTCGCCCTGGCGCTCCTCCTCAACTTGTTGAAGAATCTTCCAGTTGACCTTTGCTCGTTGCAATCGGCCCCAGCTGCCCAAAATAAAAGGCAGCTCGTCTGAAAGGATGCGCTCGCTCAGACCGTCACGCAATACGCCGAACTGCCGCCGAACTTCTGCGACCTGCCGACCCACCTCTTCTGCCGGCTCGATGCCAACCAAAGAATTCCCACAATTCAGATGATACACCCGCACGCGCTGCCTCTTCCCCCGCCGTAGCTAACAGTCGCAGACGTGAGTCTACGGCTGGTAACCAGGCAAATGTATGATTCAAGATATAAAGTCAAGCAAGCGTGGCTATGGCAGGCTGGAGTCACTCGCGCGCTTGCTTTTTCTTGGGCCAAAATACCCCAAGCGAGACAGATTGATTTGAATGCTTCTAATCTCAACCCCTTAACTTAGTTGGAAAAAACTCAAGCAAACATGGGTTCCGTAGGCAAGGTTAATTAGACACGCAACGAGCAGGAAAATGCGCATTCCACCTGGGAACATTCTTCTCAAAACGAAGACATCGACAAACCCTCCTTGTGCGTTGCAACTTTCGCAACAACTCTTTGACAAACCTGCCGAATCTGCCCTGCCTACAATGTTGATGCAAGAATTCGCTGCCAGCGCAAAGAACCGAGTGATCAAACTGAGGACTGCAATCAAGCCCGTGACGTCAATGGCACAAACACGGCCCGCATCAGCGTCCGGTGCGCAGTGAATGGTCATGTCCCCCAAGATGATCCCAGCTCGCATAACGAACCTTAGAGAATTGCAGTGAGACAACTGGCTGGATGTTTCCTTCGGAACAGCTCTGCGAGGTCAAACTGACCTTGAGAGCAGAAGAAACAAACATGACTTGCAGACTTGCATGAGGCATTGACATGTACATGCAACTCAATAGCTGCAATCCCTCATGTTTTGCCATGCTGTGTCCTACGCTGTGAAGTTGTTGGCACGTTCCATATTCGACAAGCCGAAGACAAGCCAGCCGAGCTTTCTTTTGTAAACCCAAAGGATCCCAAACAGATTCGGACCCGTCATTTCTTTTCAAGGAAAACCACCAGAGGGCAAGCTGGAGACCTGGCTCTTCGGGTTTTCCGGGGAGCCTTAGTTTGAGGACAGGACGAACAAGCAGCGCGCTCCTGCGCCAAAATCACTTCAGCGGCAACACAACAACTTGCTGTTCGTATCATCCGAGCGGCATGGGCACGATAGTTACGTCCGCGAAATCCAGTAGCGCGTCCCTCTTTGGCTATGATTACTCATGGGAAAGCCCCTCAAAAGTGTTTGGGTGGACATAAATCCCCTAATCAATCTCCAAGTGCGCAGGTGTTGGTCCATGTTTCCACATACCAGGGCAAGCCATTTTGGGTATCGGTTTTTGAGCAATTCATACCCATGTGGCTGAGGGTCAAAGAGAGGGTAACCCCAAAATGGAACGCTGGTAAATAGGAACATGGGCCAATAGCTGCGGTCTCCTGGTCTGTGGTTGCAATGAACTCTTCCCAGTGCCGCGGCACGTGGCTCCAAGATCGAGCTGAAACACACAGCGGTTGATGGCGCCATAGACCACATCCTCCATTTTTGCTTTGCACAAAGAGCCCACGGAACGTGAACAAACATTCTCGACCTACCTAAGACATTCAAAACTCTAAGATGGTGTCCACTACCCAACCACGACTATAGGGGCTTGATGGGATATACAGCCACTATAAAGCCGCTACTTACCCTGTAAGTGTGGTGTGGGGGTACTGGAAGCCTAACAATCAATGGGTTACAGAATCCGGCATGTCCCTCCAAAACTCCAGCAGGGCTCCCTATGTTTCCCCCAACATCACCCCCAAGGGACACTCACCTTTCATGGGACAGCCAAAAAGGCGGAATGTGTGTTTCCCGCCAAGAAGCTGGAAATTACTCAGGAGCCCTGTCCAAGTTGGAAATAACTCGGGACCCCTGTCCAAGATGGAAATCACTCAGGACCCCTGTCCAAGCTGGAAATAACTCACGAGCCCTGTCCAAGTTGGAAATCACTCGGGACCCCTGTCCAAGTTGGAAATCACTTGGAAACAACTTGGGACCCCTGTCCAAGCTGGAAATAACTCAGGACCCCTGTCCAAGTTGGAAATCACTCGGGACCCCTGTCCAAAGTTGGAAATCACTCACGACCCCTGTCCAAGTTGCAAATCACTCGGGACCCCTGTCCAAGTTGGAAATCACTCAGGACGGGCCCCTGTCCAAGTTGGAAACAACTCGGGACCCTGTCCAACTTGGAAACAACTCGGGACCCCTGTCCAAGTTGGAAATCACTCGGGACCCCTTCCAAGTTGGAAATGATTCGGGACACCTGTCCAAGTTGGAAATCACTTGGGACCCTGTCCAAGTTGGAAATCACTCGGGACCCCTGTCCAAGTTGGAAATCACTCGGGACCCCTGTCCAAGTTGGAAATCACTCGGGACCCCTGTCCAAGTTGGAAATCACTCAGGACCCCTGTCCAAGTTGGAAATCACTCGGGGGTCCTGTCCAAGTTGGAAACAACTCGGGAGCCCTGTCCAAGTTGGAAACAACTTGGGACTCCTGTCCAAGTTGGAAACAACTCGGGACCCCTGTCCAAGTTGGAAATCACTCGGGACCCCTGTCCAGGTTGGAAATTACTCGGGACCCTGTCCAAGTTGGAAATCACTCGGGACCCCTTTCGAAGCTAGAAATAACTCAGGATCCCTGTCCAAGTTGGAAATCATTCGGGACCCCTGTCCAAGTTGGAAATCACTCACGACCCCTGTCCAAGTTGCAAATCACTCGGGACCCCTGTCCAAGTTGGAAATCACTCAGGACGGGACCCTGTCCAAGTTGGAAACAACTCGGGACCCTGTCCAAGTTGCAAATCACTCGGGACCCCTGTCCAAGTTGGAAATCACTCAGGACGGGACCCTGTCCAAGTTGGAAACAACTCGGGACCCTGTCCAAGTTGGAAACAACTTGGGACCCCTGTTGGAAATCACTCGGGACCCTGTCCAAGTTGGAAATCACTCGGGACCCCTTTCGAAGCTGGAAATAACTCAAGATCCCTGTCCAAGTTGGAAATCACTCGGGACCCCTGTCCAAGTTGGAAATCACTCACGACCCCTGTCCAAGTTGCAAATCACTCGGGACCCCTGTCCAAGTTGGAAATCACTCAGAACGGGACCCTGTCCAAGTTGGAAACAACTCGGGACCCTGTCCAAGTTGCAAATCACTCGGGACCCCTGTCCAAGTTGGAAATCACTCAGGACGGGACCCTGTCCAAGTTGGAAACAACTCGGGACCCTGTCCAAGTTGGAAACAACTCGGGACCCCTGTCCAAGTTGGAAATCACTCGGGACCCCTTCCAAGTTGGAAATGATTCGGGACACCTGTCCAAGTTGGAAATCACTCGGGACACCTGTCCAAGTTGGAAATCACTCGGGACCCCTTCCAAGTTGGAAATGATTCGGGACACCTGTCCAAGTTGGAAATCACTCGGGACACCTGTCCAAGTTGGAAATCACTCGGGACACCTGTCCAAGTTGGAAATCACTCGGGAACTCTGTCCAAGTTGGAAATCACTCGGGACACCTGTCCAAGTTGGAAATCACTCGGGACACCTGTCCAAGTTGGAAATCACTCGGGAACTCTGTCCAAGATGGAAATAACGATGGAAATAAGCAAGGATCCCTGTCCATTCAACTCGGGACCAAAATCACTCGGGACCCCTGTCCAAACAAAATCCGAGCGCGAGAAAAGAAGAGAGAATCCGGGTCCTTGGGGACCGCGGGATTGGAGGGAAGCACCGAGACATCGGCGCCCCGATTCTTCAGCCACTTGGTGGCCTCGTGCATCAGCTCCGTCTTCCTCCGCTCCAACTTGGCTTCCTGACGCAAGTTGGGAAGTGGCTGGTCAAAGATATCATCTTTGTTACCCTAAGTGGAAACATGGACCAACAACCTGCAGTCCAATTCCTGGTGGTTTAATTTTGACCCATACCCAAGTGAGCGTTCTGATCTAGTTTCCATCACGATGCGTGCAGCTTCACCAGCGACATTCAGCCAACAACAATGCCCGCGCAACAAAAGACCCTCCTCCCGAGAGACGATCTGCTGCGGCGTGACGCCCTTGTTGACGCAGTTTGCGTCGTAGGCGAGAGTGGACTGCATGAAGACGCCGAGGGCACCAGTGAAGGCGCCGATGTTCGCGGCGCAGTTTGCTGGCACGTTCAGAGAGCCGGAGCCTTTGCTGGCGAAACTTGCTGCCAAGGAATGAGGGAATGAACCTGCAAATTCCCGAAGAAAGGAAACCATAGGGGATGGCTTTTCTTGGGGTCATTCCCTTCCCAGCACCAGAGAGAAAAGTGCATTTGAAAGCCACACAACAGGGGTCGCCTTGCTCAGGCGAAAGGCGCGGAAACTCCTCGCTTCAGGCAGTCGCACATGGCGGGGTTCTGAGATATGAATGAAAAATTATTGCAGGAGCCGATTTGCCTATCGAGCCCAATGAAGCTACGGCATTTCGGTGGATACCGGATCTGATCAATGCGGCGTACCTGCCTATTTCCTGACCCTCTTTCCTGATTCCTTTTGCGGTTTCTGTTTGTCGCTGTTGCTTCCTGTTCGGTGTCGATGTTGTGACCTGTTGATTTGCATTTGCATTCAAGCATTTTTACTGACTGCGTTTTTCATCTCGGCTAGTGAAGCCTCTCGAGATAAGTGTGTTTACCCACGGCCTGTCCGACATGGCGCTGTGGGCTGGACTCGCCACATGCGGGAGCCCCCTGCAAGGGGAAGACCGTTCATTCGTTCAAATTCAAGCCGCAGTTCAGCGCGATTGACCATGGTCAAGGCAGCAATTTTGCAGGTGAGGTACTGCCATTCGCATTGCTTGTTGCACCTGTCGCATTGCCTGCGCCTTGAGCAAGGCAGCAACCATGAGGTTTCGGCTAGGCTGCCGCATGTGCAAGGGACAGGTCGGTCAAACACCGACTTTGCAGTTCATCGGTTTACGCTCTGCACTGACTCTGATCAGTTCAATTCACTTTCACGTTCAAGCGACACCTGCATTGACATGAGCTGGACCGACACGGGGCAGCTTTTTTGAGGCACAGGTCATGTGTGAATCAGTGCTAAATCGTGCCTGCCCATGCTGCAGTTGCCTCTTATTACCAAGGCCAAGTGGGCCTTGCATAAGTGAGCTCGCCCCACTGGGGGCCTTGTGTGTGTGAACCGTCCTGGAGCACGGACGCAAAACTTTAAGCAGCAGGGGGACTGGAGCCGATTTGCCTATCCGGTCCAATGAAGCTACGGCATTTCGGTGGATACCGGATCTGATCAATCCGGCGTACCTGCCTATTTCCTGACCCTCTTTCCTGATTCTTTTTGCGGTTTCTGTTTGTCGCTGTTGCTTCCTGTTCGGTGTCGATGTTGTGACCTGTTGATTTGCATTTGCATTCAAGCATTTTTACTGACTGCGTTTTGCATCTCGGCTAGTGAAGCCTCTCGAGATAAGTGTGTGTGTGTGTGTGTGTGTGTGTGTGTGTGTGTGTGTGTGTGTGTGTGTGTGTGTGTGTGTGTGTGTGTGTGTGTGTGTGTGTGTGTGTGTGTGTGTGTGGGTGTGTGGGTGTGTGGGGTGTGTGGGGTGTGTGTTTTTTGTGTTAGGCGTGTGTGGGTGTTGATGGGGGTGTGGGGGTGTGATGGGGAGTGTTGGGTGGGGTGGGGTGGGGGTGGGGGTGGGGGGTGTGGGGGTGTGGGGGTAGGGGGTTGGGGGTGGTGGGGGTGGGGGTTGGGGGTGGGGTGGGGGCGTGGGGTGGGGGGGGGTGGGGGGGTGGGTGGGGGGGGTGGCGGGTTGTGGGGGTGTGGGGGTGTGGGGGTGTGTGTGTGGGGGTGTGGGGGTGTGGTGTGGGTGGTGCTGGGGGGGTGGTGGGGTGTGGGGGTGTTTTGTGGGGGTGTGCCGGTTTTGTGGGGGGAGTGGGGGGGGTGGCGGGGGTGGGGGGGTGGGGGGTGTGGGGGGGGTGGGGGGAGTGGGGGGGTGGGGGGCGTGGTGGGGGGGTGGGGGGGGGTTGGGGGGGGAGTTGGGTGGGGGTAAGGAGGGAAATAGGGAGTATGTATAATGTGCCGGGGAGAGGTCTGGGCATCAACATCACACTGAGAGCTGGCTTTCAGGAAGATCTTGTATAGGAATTGATTTCATAAACTTGCAAACCTTAGTCTGAGAAATTGGCTTCCAGGGGAATTTGGTAGGAATGAAATTGCAGATATTACAAATTAATTTGTAAGGTAAAGAAGATATTCTCCAAAATTACAAATTTTACAAATTTTACAAATTCTAGTCTGAGAAATTAGCTTCCAGGAGAATTTGGTAGGAATTAAATTACAACTTTTACAAATTTTTCAAATTGTACAAATTTTACACATTTTACAAATTAATTTGCAAAATTTGTAAAATATATCAAAGAAATCTTGCCCAAAATTACAAATTTTACAAATTTTACAAATGAATTTGTAAAATTTGTAAAATATCAAAAAAAGTCTGGCCCAAAATAACAAATTCTACAAATTTTGCAAATTCTAGTCTGAGAAATTAGCTTCCAGTGGAATTTGGTAGGAATTAAATTACAAATTTTACAAATTTTGCAAATTTTACAACTTTTACAAATTAATTTGTAAAAATTGTAAAATATCAAAAAATCTAGCCCAAAATTACAAATTTTACAAATTTACCAAATTAATTTGGTAAATTTGTAAAATATCAAAAAAAATCTATGGAACAGTCTAAAAGTGGGACAAAGGAAGGGGATATTGGCTTTATTTTTGGTTTACTTGTAGAAAAAGAAAGCCACTTTCCACAACCCGCTTCTTTCTGTAAAAACACAGATGGAAGAAGATGACCGTTCCTTTCCCGGCCCAGCCAACGCTTGTCATTTTCCTTGCCTTGTCTTTTACATTGCCATGTTTTGGAAATGAAGAAATAAAGCGTCTGGCAAGGAGGTAAGCGCCCATCAATACTAATTGAAGATAACGAATTGGATGGGCACTTACCATGTCTTTCTATCACTTCTTTCTTTCCTTTTGATGAAATTGAAGATTGAAAATGGGAAGTGAGAAGCCTCTCTTGACTTCTTCCTCAAGCATAGGCTGCTGTTAATCTTATGCCGTGTGATGCTTGGGAAGAAGAAGAAGAGAAGATAGGAGAGGGTGAGCAGAAGTAACGTGATTCTTTCTTTTCCTCCGATCGCATCCTGATTTTCCCATGTATGTCACCCACCAACATCTTCAACCCATAAAGACTTGACTACAGAATCCTTAAAACCTTTTTAATAGCAAATACTAGCGGTCTCTCTCTTTTGCTAATAATCTTCTGGAAATGAAAGGACAATAATAGAGTTTTAGATCATAGGATGGTGTAAGGACTGGGCTCTTCTCATCGTTGACGTCCTTTCCTTGTCCAAGTCACGGAGGAAGAGAGGTTGGTTTGTGGTCCCAAGAGCTTGTATCCTTCCCTTTCTATCTCTTCCACTTCATCCAGGAAACATTTGTGGATGGACATGTCGTTATTAAGATCATTGCCTTTCGGTTTACCATCCCATTTATTGCTTGAATGTCTATCGATATCTTTGTTGTCTTCCATTTACAATATTATCTGAGAAGTATAGAAATGCTTCTGGGTGTGAGGTTGAACAAATTGGCGATGTAAAGAAAATCACGATGGTTGGAACAGAAAGTTAATCATTACCAAGAATAGGTTCATAGTCTCTCATCTGCTGGTTGCATTCTCATGTACTTGTTCACTTTGCAACCTTTCTACTTGTTTATCTATCTTCCCAATCTCTCTTTCTCTCTCTCTCTCTCGCATTGTAAACGTTGGAGGCATCTGGATGGGGGAAAAAACCCGGGGGGTAATAACAAATATGAAGAAGAGGAACTGGCTAACACTCCTTCTGCTCTCCCGTCTTTCGCGGCTATCAGGATTAGTAAGAATTACGAAAAAGACCTATGAAGAAACATAATAGATACATAAATAAATACATCAATAGGCAAATTACAGAACCAAGAACATGAAAGTAATAAAGAATGTTAATAAATGAAACTGTTTATTGGGAGACACATTATTCTTGTCCATCAAGAACCCTCTCCAACACAGTGAAAAACCTAGAGTGGACAATGATGGATATGATAGAAAACGCAATAAGACAATAAAACGCAGTAAGCTATGAGATTACAACGATTCTGTAATTATTGCCTTTAAATTCACCCCGTGACCACTTCATCCCATTTACACAAATATATCGGAGAAGATATTAGTGCATGATGAAGAATAAACACAAATTATAACCATAGATAGTTTGCTTGACTCTGAAGAGGCTGTTGGTCTTTACTCATGGAGTTTATTTAGTTGTATCTTCTTTCTGCTTTTGTTCTATTAGACTTTCCTTGCAAAATCTCTCACTCACTTCCTATTGTATCATTAGATATGTGCAATATTCTTGAGTTTTAGGTGAGAATGAAAAGGATATTAATAGTTCAAAGTTGCTGGAGAAGGACGGAACACTATTTACGAAAGGCTATTTATTTCCTAGAATCTCATGAGTAATGTTAACTAATTTGTATCGATTGGGGTTTATTTCTCACCTTTTCTTTTTAAGGGGTTTCCTTTTGATGAAATTAAAGATTGAAAATGGGAAGTGAGAAGCCTCTCTTGACTTCTTCCTCAAGCATAGGCTGCTGTTAATCTTATGCCGTGTGATGCTTGGGAAGAAGAAGAAGAGAAGATAGGAGAGGGTGAGCAGAAGTAACGTGATTCTTTCTTTTCCTCCGATCGCATCCTGATTTTCCCATGTATGTCACCCACCAACATCTTCAACCCATAAAGACTTGACTACAGAATCCTTAAAACCTTTTTAATAGCAAATGCTAGCGGTCTCTCTCTTTTGCTAATAATCTTCTGGAAATGAAAGGACAATAATAGAGTTTTAGATCATAGGATGGTGTAAGGACTGGGCTCTTCTCATCGTTGACGTCCTTTCCTTGTCCAAGTCACGGAGGAAGAGAGGTTGGTTTGTGGTCCCAAGAGCTTGTATCCTTCCCTTTCTATCTCTTCCACTTCATCCAGGAAACATTTGTGGATGGACATGTCGTTATTAAGATCATTGCCTTTCGGTTTACCATCCCATTTATTGCTTGAATGTCTATCTTTGTTGTCTTCCATTTACAATATTGTCTGAGAAGTATAGAAATGCTTCTGGGTGTGAGGTTGAAAAAATCACGATGGTTGGAACAGAAAGTTAATCATTACCAAGAATAGGTTCATAGTCTCTCATCTGCTGGTTGCATTCTCATGCGCTTGTTCACTTTGCAACCTTTCTACTTGTTTATCTATCTTCCCAATCTCTCTTTCTCTCTCTCGCATTGTAAACGTTGGAGGCATCTGGATGGGGGAAA